CAATTTCACCTTCGTCTTCAGCCTTTGACCGTCAAATTTTGGTCCAGCCTTCTCTGGCCCCTCTATTCCTTATCTCCATTCCTCGTTTCCTAGTTTCCAGGCCAGCCTTACCAGTGCCTTAGCCTCTTTCTCTCTTAGTTACTCCGGTTCACCGTTAAGTCCTGCCTTATCCGTCACTCCGTCGTTTTTCAAGTTTTAGCGCATGGTTTTCATAGTCTGAGGTAGTGAAGCCTATTGAGGGGTAATCTTGAAAGGAAATAATCTCTGTGGTTTTGTTAAGGAACACCTATTAAAGCTTTAGTTGTCTCAGAATGCCCTTGGTTTATTTAGCACTACAGCTTCGTTCCTACATTGCCATATCCAGACCGTGAGAAGCTGCTTTTATGAATAAAGAGTAGAAACAAATATTTTTTGAAATTTTTGAAAAAAAAAACTTTTTTTTGCTCGAAATTGCAATATATATACGTCGCTCACTGTTTATATTAAAAGTGTAAAAAAATCTAATACGACTTAGTTGAAATATTTACTTGGTAAGTTAATCGATGTAAAAGAGTTTTGCATAAGAGACATGCCATTGCAGGTGTTATCTATATTTCGCTTCTTAGCAACATTGACGCTATTACAAACTATTTTAAATGTACTGATCTGGATAAGGAAGGAATGGAATCGTTTTGGTGAAAGGGCGCTCACTGTAAATGTTCATCAGTTTGGTGATGAAGTGGAAGAAAACGACGAAGTAAGTTCGCTTTTTCTTCTTGCCATTGATAATGATAGGATGCTTGGAACAGCTGTAATTTATAGTTTGGCCCTCTATATGTGTCGTAATTTATCTTCCTTCGCGTGGAAAATTAAGGGGTAAATAAAGTGTGTTGGAAATTTTTTAAGATGCAAACTGTAAAAGTTTGTTTGGCACCACAGGCCCACCGATGAAAGGAACACAGTCGATTATTGAAAGTTGTGGGAAAGCAGGAAGTGCCAGTTTGGATACCCAGATAAGCGAGCCTGTATGTGCATTAGCTGTTGTCCTTTCTCTGTTTCATCCCTGAACTGTAAACACAGACGTCAGAGCCGGTGCGGAATGGGGTGGGAAAGTTAGCACCCAAGGTGCTTGTTTTCCTTTATTTGAAGTCAGTGTTTAACGGAATCTCGATGAAATTCATAGGGGTTAGTCTGCTATACCAGTTGCTCTGAGGGATGTTCTTTTAGTCCGAGGAACTAGGTTGATCCAATTTTTCGAGGTAGCATATGAGGGGTGGCTATTGGACTACTTTTTCTATGTTTTTAGGGTATTCTTGTAGGTTCGTAGCGGATATCCACACTGATAGCCAAAGCGATTTTGATTTTCTTGGTACACCTTTTAGCACTGCACTGTTTCAGTTCTCGGATGGTAGATTCTGTTGCCCAATTTGTACGCAAACGAACAAACCGCTAGCCGCAACACCTTGTGGTCATTTATTTTGTTGGAGTTGTATTTTCAAGCATTTACAAGGAATCGCCATGGATACTGGTGCTAATGCATTCTGCCCAAATTGCCGGACGGTATTTCATCCAAGCCGTATTGTGCCACTTCTCAATTTTTAAATGGTAATCATGTTCCATTCGCCTTTTTTCGTCGCAGAATCCCTTTGTTTTTAACTTCCGTAATTCCTTCATATGTTGATTCTCTCCTGTAATAAATCTACTTTTCTTGACTCCTTCCCGAATTGTCTCTGTGAATCAGGTACTACTTATCTCTTAGTGTTTCTGATTGCTATGTTTTAACAGCGTATAAGTATAACGACTAAAACATAGGCGGATCCAGGAGGGAGGGGGGAGGGGAGCGGGAGGAGGAGGGGAGGGGCTTCGCCCCAGCAGCGCAGGCACCAGCGCTGCAAAAACCCGGGTTTGTTCATAAACAAAACTAAAGCAGTTCAGAGTAGCAGTGTTACAACTCTATTCCTAGTTTCTTCATAGTTCCAGGGTGAGAGAGGGCTCTCTTTTCCCCCTCCCCCCGTCCCACCCGCCGTCGCCTCTCCCAGAAGTCCGTCCCGGATCGGCCTATTGTCTAAAACTATCTGAGGTGTTTCAAATCTGGGAGAAGAATTGGTCTGTGGCGGATTAAACTCCGTTTTGATTGTAAAATAAGCAATTACTAAAACTCGGCTCGGCTCGGCTGGTGTCTTACACGATTAGCCAAAAATTTTTTGTATGGACGACGAGTAGGGTTGCCCGTTAAGCCCTGTGCTACAAATGCGGTGAGGGCTACTGATGAAGTTTTCTGAGCGTTACCCAGGACCGTGTTTGAGCAAGCCCACGCGAAGACAGTATTCACGTTGCTACTCACGTACGAGCACGTTAGATTTCATGTAACTCCACAAGCAGAGCAGCTGGAGTGCTGAAATGTTCTGGGCGTGGTCTAGAACTGTGTTCCAGCAGTAAGCGCGCGCGCCAACAGCATTGACATTGTCATTCACGTACGAGCATGTGAAATTTGACGTAACTTCGCAAACGAAGCGTCTAGAGTGTTGAATTTCCCGGGCATGGATTAGGATTCATTCTAATAATTTCTAACAGTCGTGGTAGCTACTTTCAATTCTCTTAGCTAAAAGCATCTGCCGGAAAAA